ACACACACACATATACACATACATACAATGGAAAAAGTAGAGTTTCTTCAATGAATGGTGCTGGGAACTGGAAAGCCCCATGCCAAAGAATGAAATTAGCTCACTTTCGCATATTATACACAAAATTTAACTCAGAATGGACTTAAACAATGGATATAATATATCTAATTATAAAATACATTAGATAAAGATAAGACAAAGGCAAAGCACTCCATGACATACGCTGCAATGGTGTCTTTGTGCATTCATTTATGAAGGCAAGAGAAACAAACCTGAATATAAACAAATGGCACTACATCAAAATAAAAAGCTTTTGCACAGTGAAAGGAACTATCCATAAAATAAAAAGACATGCTACTGAATGGGAGAAAACATTTGCACATTACCCTTCTGACAAAGGGCTGATATCAAGTATACAAAGAAGTTATACATTTCAACAAGAACAAAATGTCCTATCAGAAAATGGGATAGAGAAGAGGTGATAGTAGACACTTCTTCAAAGAATAAAAATAGTCAACAGGTACATGAAAACATGCTTCCATCAATTATCATCAACAAAATGCAAATCAAAACCACAATAGATAGCATCCCCCACCAGTGAGGATGGCCTCTGTCAAAGAGAACAGGAACAGCAAGTGTCGATGACGATGTGGAGCCAAACCCTTATACAATTTTGGTGGAAGTACAGATTGGTCCAGCACCTCTGGAGAACATTATTGAGTTTTCTTAAAATACTAAAAAAAAAAAAAAACTACCATTATGACCCAGCAATTCTATGACTAGGTGCTTATCCAAAGAATACAAGAACAGTAATTTGAAGTGATAATGTGTGCCTGTGTTTGTTGAAATATTATTTACAATAGACAAGTATGGAAACAGCCTAAGTGCCCAAGGACAGACGACTGGATTAGAGAAATATGGTATACATGCACAGTGGAATACTACTCAACCACAGAAAGTGGCAGACTCTTGGATGGAACTGGAATATAATGTTAAGTGAAATAAGTTAGAAGGAGGAAGACAAATACCAGCTGCTTTCACTTATATGTAAAATATAAAGAAAAAAAAGGGGTCAGACAAAACCAAACCAATAATAAACTTGACTGAACTGAGGTTAAAAGAAGGGGATGGAAGGGCAAAAACAAAATTTGAAGGGGCACAAATGGACTATGGTGTGGAACTGTGGGTGGCCTGGTGTTGAGTATGGCTTCTTGACATACATGTGAGGATACCAATAACCCATTTATAAGTGATCAACTCATCTTTATCTCTTGTCATGATGTTTTGTCTTCAGATTTACTTAAATAAGGAGTTAGAAATTAAAGAGGAATGTTAAGTTACATGAAATAATTGTGTTGTTGGTAAGATCTTCTAATGATGGTGGAATACCCCTGAGGTCTAATTAGCCATAGCTAAGACACTTCATAGAATTCACTTGCAAATAAGATATGTGGTAGTAATTGTAAAGCTCAAGAGGAAGGCTTTATCCAAAGGTGCCATTTATAAATCAACAAAGACATTTATTGTAGTTGAGTGAGTTGGCTTGCTTAATTTTGCAACTTAGCTTCTTTCTTGGAGAAAACAGCTGACTGAAGCGCTGTCCATGGAACTAATATAGACAAGTTCATAGGTGAGCTTTTATTCCAAGAAATCATATAATTATGAAATCTCAGGTTTAAATGGATTTTATAAATTATATAGACAATTCTTACCCACCAATTTGAGGTTTAAAATCTCTTCTGACTGTCAAACATCAAGAAAGATAGAGTCAATTCCAATAGTACCAATTTCAACCTGAAAAAGACCTCAGAGAATTTTATTCTTATTGATATAATTTTAAATTATTTAGAATTGTATTACATATTCACACTTACATCCAAATTCTTCTCCACTTAATATTACAATATAACATTTTCCCTATGACATTGCATAATTATAAAAACCTCTCTCAAGACCAGTACTTATTCAGATGCTCTATTATTCTTTTTCTCTATTGTCAGACATTCCACACCATTTTTAATTTTCTATAGCTCTTAATAATTGCATTGCACATAATTTTACATTTTGCTATAGGGCTTATTTATTGACAGAGTATTGAGTTAAAGAATAAAGACAAAGTATTTTCTAAATAACTTTTAACTATTTTGTCTTATTTTTCATGAACAATTCTGATGTGTTGGGCTAGACACTCCCTGACAAAGAGGATGCTATAAGGTTCTGCACTTTGTTTCTCCCTCTCTGTACTCTCTCTGTATTACACAAAGAGACACACAACACACACACACACACACACACACACACTTGATTTTAATCTTTGATCATTACAAAATAAAAGCCCTGTTTATCTTCGCTAGAAATATTTTTTCTTTGCAGAATACACACACACACACACACACTTGATTTTAATCTTTGATCATTACAAAATAAAAGCCCTGTTTATCTTCGCTAGAAATATTTTTTCTTTGCAGAATACATCTTACTATATTTATAATTTCTTCTTCTTCTTTTGTTCTGGGAATTTATGTCCCTAAATTTGCTTATCTGATATATGGCTGGTATATGTTATGAGGATGGTCAGTGAAGGCATCAGAATGCATAGAGCAGAAGTATAAGGAATAAGGGAGGGTCGTGCATCTCAGTGGTGGACAAACAGCTGCTGTTGGTGATAGTTTCGGGGCAGGAATTACTAAGGGACTTAGAGATCCTTTTAGGACTTTATGCAGACAGTGATGCATGGTTATGTATAGTCAGTTTCAATAAATATTTATTGGGTAAGTTAACCTGTAAGGAAATGGAACTTATAGAAGTAATAGATTTTAAATGTTTGTGAATGCATACATGTGTATATATGCATATCTATACATAGGTGATACATTATCTTATCTGGTGGTCTATTTCACTATGGTCCCCATATTAAATCTATATATTTAAAATACTGAAATGAAGGGCTTCTTTTGGTCAGTAGATCTTACAGTCTGAAATCTTAATCAAGAGGTTTTTTTCTTACTTGCTGAAGTTGTACATCTACTGAGCTTCACTATGCTATATTACATGTGGGACAGAATTTTGAAGACTAGAAATGTCAACTCGCCAGCACTTTTATCATCCTGAAAGATCCACTAATAAGCCCCTTCTACAGGCAATTAAGATTATCGTTCTTCCTTATTCAATATGTTAGAAACTATTAATCTCATGTCTGATACCCTGCTCTGTTTTGCACATCCAGTATAGCATTCAATAAATTAGGAGGAAGACCCAAACTTCATTATCATAGGATTTCACTAGATGATTTTTCCAATTGTAGGCTAATATATATGTTCTGAGTATATTCAAGGTTGACGAGGCTGAGCTAGGGTATTAGCTTAGATGTATTAAATGCATTTTGACTTATGGTATTTTCAATTTGTGATGGGTTTATTCAGAGAAAACCTAATGATGAATTGAGTAAATATGCCTAGCCAAGCATTTTTCTCACTAAGTTATATATCAAACAGTGCCTTATAGATGTCTCAAGATGCCAGCTACCAGCAGTCTTTCTATCATGAAGTAGGAAACATTTATTGAGGTTTTGAGAAGTTGCAGTGACTATTCTATTTTTGCACTGTGCAATCCAGACTACAGTCTTTCCATGGTTAATAGGAAACTTTCTTTATGTCGTTGTAGGCAACTCAGTTCTCAGGAAATTGATCTTTTCTGAATGGATCGCCTCCTGTCTCCCAACAATGTGACGGAATTTATCCTGTTAGGACTCACACAGAATCCATATTTGCAGAAAATATTCTTCATAGTATTTTTGTTCGTTTTCCTATTTACTGTGCTGGCCAACCTGTTGATTGTCATTACCATCTCCCTTAGCCCCACTCTTTCTGCTCCCATGTATTTCTTTCTCACTTTTTTGTCATTTATCGATGCCTTCTACACCTGTGTCACCACTCCCAAAATGATCATTGACTTGTTGTTACAGAGGAGAACCATCTCCTTGGGGAGCTGCCTGACTCAACTCTTTGTGGAACACTTCTTGGGAGGATCAGAGATCATCCTTCTCATTGTCATGGCCTATGACCGCTACGTGGCCATCTGCAAGCCCCTGCACTACATGACCATTATGCGACAAGGACTCTGCCGCCTTTTGGTAGTGGTGGCCTGGATCGGGGGGATCGTGCACGCCACTGTGCAGATTCTTTTCATGCTCCACTTGCCTTTCTGTGGTCCCAATGTCATTGACCACTTCATGTGTGATCTCTTTCCGCTTCTGAAACTTGCCTGCAGTGACACCTATAGGCTCGGAATGGTAGTGGCCGCTAACAGTGGCGCTATGTGCTTGCTCATTTTTTCCATGTTACTGGTGTCCTACGTAGTCATCCTGAATTCGCTGAAATCCCATGGCTCTGAAGGACGGCGCAAAGCGCTCTCTACATGTATTTCCCACTTTACTGTAGTTGTGCTCTTTTTTGTGCCGTGTATCTTCACTTACATGCGTCCTGTTGTTACCTACCCTGCAGACAAGTTGGTCACTGTGTTCTTTGCCATCTTCACTCCCATGTTAAATCCTATCATTTACACAGTGAGAAACACAGAAGTGAAAAATGCCATGAAGAGTTTGTTGAAGAAGAGAGTAACTTAGGCCAAGAAAGTGACGATGGGTTTAGATAAGGAGCATGTGTCAGTTGTAAACTGTGAAAGAGAATTTATAAAACAAAGCAATGTAAAACACTGAGAAATTAACACTTACTGGATATTTAATAAATGTTAAAGACCTTTGGTAGGTGCGTTTGATAATTTTAACGTAGTTCATCAAGGCTACGATGCTCGTATGCATAGATTTCTTGTTGAAAAGAGAGCAACTATATCCTTAGTTTGTTGGTTCTAGCATATAATTTCCCCCAGCATCTATTACTTATTAAATTCTTCATGCACATGTAACTTAGTTGAAATTGACTCTTTCATAGGATCTTGGTAATAACTTTAAAAATTTTTGCTTCACTTATGGTAAAGTAAAAAGGGAATAGAAATTCTTATATAAGTGAGAAAGGGACAGTTGGGGAGTGAAGGGATTTCTGCCCATTTATTATTTTATCTATCAAAAAGAGAGAACTCACAATATAGAGAAATAATAATTTATAATTGATCTCTACTTTGTTTTTCTGACCAGGAAAAATAAATGGAATATTTTGAAATAGCTGTTACTTTGGTATTATTTTCTTGAATAGGTTTATCAGTTTTTTCTTGAACATAAATAAAATTTCTTCTTTTCCTTACCAAGACTTGAGGAGTCATTTGAAGCAATTAGGCTAAACATTATTTTATTTAATTGTCACCCAAAGGCATATGGCAAGAAGTTTATAGATACTGGTACTAGCTGTCTGAAGAGATGGAGACTTCTATCCCAGGTAACTAACACACTGTTCGTTCCTCTTGTGTCGGAGAAAAATTATCTGGTGGGCAAATTTCAACAGATGGATCACCCTTCATGGGCACCAGGATAATGGGCTCAAAAATTACAAATCAAATGGCTGAATTTCAAAGAAAGTGACATGGGGGAGAGATGTTTGGAGGAAAAATTAGCAATTCAGTCACTGAGATAGTATTACTGGAAATAAGCTTAGTACCTTGAATAATTATATTTTGTTTTTGTAAGAATTTTCCAGTTGTTATTCCATAGTGTTAATGTTTATTACGTGAAAAATGGCTTCATTAATTTTAAGATATTTGGACTTAATTTTATCGATCAAAAATATTTGATGTCTACAGTGTATCAGCAAAATTTAGAAACTAGGTATACAATGTTGAATAATGTAGACAGGGGCTGTATTAATGTGGAACTTGATTTCCAATAAGGAATACAGGGATAGTAAATAAATTGATAAATAACTAAAACATGTAGTTGTGTAGTAAGAAGTATCACAAAAACATTTTTTTAATAGGGTACAAAGAGAAGAACGGAGCCCAGCTTTTGAGTCAATTGAAATACAACTGAAATTGTAATTATAGCCAATTTAAATAACTGCATAATTTACCCACTTCTTTTCTTGGCTACTTGAACACATGTGTTTTTAATGGGGATAAGTGTCTCTTCCAGGTAAAATAATTTACTGGAGATGAAAATATCTTAGTTTTTTATTTACTTATAGTAGATATGCATTGTACATAGAAAAGCTATAGCATAAAGTTTTAGGGAGGATGATTAGGGAAACAATCTCTTTAGAGGTGCTTTAGGAGACAAATATTGATTTAAAAAAATTGAATAAATTGCCCTAGCACCTATAAGTGGACTGATAAGAGTAAGGGGTAATTTTAGAATATTAGTAAGGATAACCCAAGAGCAGAGCATGGCTCCTCAGGTGTGAGAATGAGGTTCAGTAAAATTAAGAGATTCTTCCTTCAGGGAAGGTTTCCTAGAGAACATGATCAAATATATTAACAAACTAATTTTGATCTTTGAGTTACATTGTAAATATACGAATGGAAGTTATAATCCCAGTATTTCTAATTTGAAGACTTTTTATTTGGGAATACTAATTATTAAAGAGTGAGATGGATTTTTGTCCATAATTTTTTCTGGGCTGAGGTTTATTTTTTGATTATTAATAATGGCAACTGATGGTCCTCCCTGGTGGTGCAACAGGTTAGGATGCAGCATTGCAAACTGGCTGTAACCGCTTCCATGTGAGTTCGATCCCTGGCCTTGGAGGTGACCACATGGCACGGCAGACCTCTCCTGACCGGCCCCCTGCTCCCCTCAACAGTGTACTTTGTCAATCTGCCTGTTCTGCTCCCCACTCTGTCTCTGGTGAATCCTCTCACCGCCCCTGCAGCTCTGGCTTGTACCCCAGTTCTGTATGAATAAATAAATATTAAAAAAAATAATAATGGCAACTGACTAGCCATTAGGTGTGACACAATTTCAATAATATTCTTAAGAGATGAGAAAGCAACAGACTAGGTGACAGAAAAAAAAATACTTACTAAGTGGCCATGAATACATCATATTTATTTATCTGTATCTGTTGTCAGGCAGATGGTACAGCATGTGGACATTTTGTTACTGAAAATGAGAGGTTAGTGCTGCAGCAAGAAGTGAAATGGTTAAGACTAGGATTTGTGTTGTGTTTGTGGAGCATATGGTTGGCCTGGCTCTATGAAGCTCTGTCCTTGGAAAAACAGATTATGTCTGGGGTGATGGGAATTCATGGGGACAGTGATTACATCTCCACGAGTATAGACACAGCCTCAAAGGAATGCAAGTGGAATGATGCAAGTGTGCACATTTTCAATTCTTTGCCATTAAGCATGACATGCTGCTCCCCTCTTTCAGCCCAGGTCTATTACCCAAAGGACAACATCTTATTAGCGATGTTTCTTCTGAGATATGGATTAGGAACTGTTTACAAATTAAGCTCAAAATATTGCTAAATGGCAGGCACAAATTCTGTGAATATTTTTGTAAACAGCTTAGCTGGCTGCCTGTTCTGGCATTTTTTTTTTTTTGGTTAGATGACATTTGAATTCTTCGACCAACCAGCACCAGGTTGTCTTCTATTTAAATCTCTGGACACTCAGTGTGTTTTTAAAACCATTAGAAACTCTGGTCCTCTCCAACTAATGCCATGAATTGATTGCCTGAATTATTCCCAGAGCAACTCCTGCTTTATTTGCTGCACACTTGGATTTAGTAAGTTCAAATTCTAGTATGATGTGATTTTTAACTCTTTTGTAAAATGAAAGTTCATGTAGTTACTTGCTGGATGTTGTCAGACCTTTGGCAAACCTCTGCCTCTAGAATTGTTATTTACATTTCTTCCACCTTCTATTTACATTAGGATTTTGGAGGTCACAGATGATAGCAGATTGACTTTTGGAGATATTTTTTAAATACCATTAAAATTTTCTTTTTAATTTGAAGTTCTTTGAAATTACTGAAATAAATGAATAACACACGCACACACATATATAAGCACAACTATATATATAAATGCATACAACTACACTTAACATTTGTGAGTAGTTCATCTATTTTTCTCTGTATGCACAGATTGTGGCCTCAGTGTAAGGACACTGAGATATATTCAATTTTTGGCTTGATTTACTTAAACCAATTTTGGCAATTTTTCAAAATTTAAGTGTCTTCCTTTTGGTCTCAATCCAAAATGAGCAAATGAAAGAGTGTGTTTATGTTTCAGAGATATGCTCAGAGGATGTATGTCCTAGGCTGGTTTCAGAGTTTAGGTTTCATGTATTCTTTCTCTCTCTCTCTCTCTTTCTCTGCTTTGCTCTTTTATCAACTTTCTTAAACTTTATTTATTTATTTATTTTTGCTAATTACCTTTGACTAAAACTTAGGTGGTATTTGTCTTTATTTTTCACCAGTTAATAATTTCAAATTTCTGACTTTCATTTCACTTAAAGATAAACTGGATTTCAAAATTATGTTTCTCCATCTATATAGAAGTTCCTTTATGTTGAGCTTGGCTGCCCAAGGTGCTGGTGCTCGTGTTGGTGAGGCGGACGGGAGTTGCTCAGGACGGGGCAGTGAAATCAAGTTGGGTTGTACAGGGATTACACTCTCTCCTTCCCTGTTATTTATAATGGTGATTTCCATGCTATAAAAAGTGCTAGTGTAGATATTTTTATCTCCACTCTGTTGTCAAGGAACCAGAAATGAGCTTAGAAGATTTTCTGGCTAAACCAGCCCTTATAAAGCCCCTTCTTAAGAGACAAGTAATATAGGTGGGGTGTGCCATTGGCTGCTCTTTACAAGTGAAGACCCAGAGGCACTCAATAAACACAGTGTACTCACCTTAGTACCCAGGGTTGTATGGAAGACGTTACTGATCATCATAAGAAATCCAGCATCAAAAACACATGTCAACACTAAAGTCTACTTTCTGGCTTCAAATCCAGGATATATCACTATATCACTTACTAATTATATATGTGTATATGTATATAATTAGTAAAAATAATATATAATTAGTAAGTAATACATATATATACACATACACATGCTTGAACAATTACATACATATATATATACACACACACACACAAATTAATTGTGCTAGTTGTGTGGTGTGTGTGTGTATATGCTTTTGACCAAATAGGTTTGAATCTCGTGGGTCCACTTATACACATTATTTTCAGTAAATATTATCAATGCACGAATCATTAATTGTAAATAAGTGTCAATGTATTTTCACATTATCTTTTCATGTGATTTCTAATTAGTAATATGTATGCTTTCTGGTTTTTGTATCATATAAGATAATATTGATGTACACACAAATTGATGATTTATTTTGTAAGCAGACAAGGTAAATTTCAGGTATTTACAATTACAGTCCAGTGCTATAAATTTATTTTCTTTCTTACATTTTTCTCCATAACACTTTCTTTTCTATAGATTGCTTATTGTGAAATGCAGTGTATATTACATAAGCAAAAGCTGTGTTCATTGGTCATTTTTGTTTTTTTGTAAGGCTTCTGGTCAACAGGATATTGGTAGTTCAATATTTGGAAAGTCGAAAATTATAAAGGGACTTTATAATTTTACTTGTATATTAATGTAGCAATATATATATATATATATTACATATACACATGTTAGTTGACTCTTGAACAACATGT